GTGGGGGTGTGTGGCAAAGAGAGAGAGAGAGAGAGAGAGAGAGAGAGAGAGAGAAAGCATGCCACAAGGTCCTGGACTTGAACCACAGTTGGCACACGTGGGAGTCTAGTGCCCTTAACCACCATGCCACTTGCCACCCCCAAAAAACAAGAATTTTAAAGATACTACTATATTTACTCTCAAATATGCTCAAAATGAATGAAAGGAAAATATTAGTAGAGAAATAATAAAAGTGAATCAAATCTAGATTTGATACATTTAATATCTTTTTAAATTACAGAATACACTTAATATATTAGAAATAACAGAAATAATTAGTAAACATAAAAATAAAATTTAAAACTTTAATTCACAAGTACAAAGTGGGAAAAAAAAGACTGATAAAAAATAAAATTGGCAGTATTTAGGAACTTGTTAGCCCATACTTTTAAGTATAGCTTATGTTATTAAAGTTCCAAAAGTAGACTTTAAAAGGAATAAGGCAGAGCGGTTTATTTTTAAAAGACATAAAGGTTATAATTTCCCTGTTTGGCAGAAACATCAATTTATAGATCCATAAATCTCAGTAAAACAAGGCAGAATTAATTCATGTAGCACCACATATAAGCACATCACAAACTATGGTAGCTAAAAACAAAGATAAGATCTTAAAATAAGGCGAGGGACCACCAGTTGGCATGATGGCTATGTCACTGGACTCCCATGTAGTCAACTGTGGTGACTTAAACTCACTCTGGGCACATTTACGTGTGTGCCCAAGATCCCAAGAGGAGAATTGTGGCGTGGCCATCACTCCTGGGGGGAGGTGATTTCTCACTTTCTGTCTTTCTTTCTGGAAGCACACATGCCCTATAACAAAAACCTCTCCAAAATAATACTACTACTAAGGTGAAAGATGTCACACTCACACACAGGAGAACAATATTTATTTTGATGTACTGTGGACTTGTTGTGAGAAATTGTGGGGTCAGAAGACAGAGAAACAATGTCTTTCATGTAGAAAAAGGAAAAAAAAAAGCACTTTAATTCAGAATTCTATGTTAAGCACTAATCTCTCTCAACAATAAATGAAAGGTAAAATGAAGACATTTTCAGATAAACAAAATGAAGATACACCCTACAAGAAGTACATGAGGAAGTTCCTCAAGCTGAAGAACATGAAACCAGATGGAAAGTGGATCTTCATAAATGAATAAAGAGGCCAGCCCCTGTTGCAGTTAGGTGATGTGCAGAGGAAACCAGATGCCAAATTGCCAACGAGGGTTCAAGTCCTGTCCGAGCTTCATGTTAGGTGTGTGCAGTGCACATGCCAAGGATCCTCACGGGATCAAGAACTGGAGAAAAGAGGATTTTGGCATGTCCAGGCCCTACTGAAGGGTGCTTTCTCTCTTGCTCTCTCCCTTCCTCATGTGTATGCACACACCCCCTGAAGATCATTGAAAATGGTAAACATCCACTTCAATTTAAAAAGGTAATTTTCTCCCTTTAGTTTTATATATATAATGCCCCCCCAAATTATAACTCTTTATTCTGAATTTAATACAAATGCAGATATAATTTTTAAGAGAAAGCATTTCCCTAATGGGACATGGTCACATCACAATCCTTTTTCTCCTATTCCTCCCTTCCATCAGGATTCTGGGCACCTGTGCACAAGTGTCCAGTGTGTTTTTCAAGCCACCAGAGATGAGACTTAAACTGCAGTAGACCATGTGGAATCCAGCTCACTTACCCACAGCACTATGGGGTCAGCCCTATATATGACAACCACAAAAGTATGGTAGGGATAACAGAATGATCTGGTTTCAAAGTTTCTATATATTCCTTAAGGATTTTATTTTATTTGTTATTGTTTAGTTTCCTCTAGGGCACACATGCTCACCAAAGACAGATAAACAGAGAGGGAAAGTGAGAAAGCATGCCACTAGGTCTGAGACTTGAACTGTGGTCAACCATGTGAGAGTCCACCACCTTAACCACCACCACCTGCCAGCCCCATAGCTCTCCTATTCCACAAGAGAAAATACTCAAAATCTGTCAGAGAGGTTTTGAGCCTTCTTCAAATGTATCTCAATGGTAGGCAGATGACCTCCTAGTAATCACCAAAAATCCCCATCACCTCATCAGTCCACAGATACAGCATATCTGTGGGAAGTTCATAACCATATTCTGTAGCAAAAGTTATTTTAATGAAAAAAACCTTTGTGAGATTTGTACCAAGAAGCCATAAGAAATGAAGATCGTGCCACTTGAAATTGATATAATCTTCCACATGAATGCATTTCTATGTTCAGAATATTGATCTGAGAAAAACATGTTATTTTGCAGCTAATGTTAAAACATTTCTACTATAACATTTCTATTCCGTGCTTAGATTCAGGTACTGTTCAGAATGATGAGCAAACCTATTTGCTTTCTTTCAAGGAAGGCTATTAGATACATAAATGAATACATAATCATTATGAGAGAGGTCAAGTTGTATGAAATTTCACAGACCTTTCTCTGGCTTTTATTTTCTGAGAAACAAGCAAGAGGGAGAAAAACAGAAACTTTTAAAAATTCAGGTGCACTACATGTTCCGTAAGGTCTAGAACTCTCTATGCAATACCTAGTGAGCCCAGGGTCAAAGCGCTTTTGTGTACGGACATTTTCAATTTTATTGCCACTAAGGAGGTCTCCTTACAGACAAGCTATTTCAGAATTACCGGGAAAAAGACGAACGACATCGGCAATTTATTGGGTTGTCGGAAAACCCACGATGTGTTTTTCTGCAAAAATGCATCATGACTTTTCCGAGGACCTAAGTATCCCAGGTGATCCTAAATTGGTACGGGGGTTTGGAGTCATTGCTCTAGGAATCTTACGTGATTCCGTCACTGACCTGAGGGTCAGGAGACCCGAGGTATTTTTCAGCCGGCGTCGTTGCTCACCCTGGAGGAATGAAACCAGGTTCAGATACAGCAGCCCAGAAAGTATTCTTGGCACAAAGAATAGAAAAGTGAGCACTTTCTCCCTCTAAACACCGTTTCCCTGAGGGAAGTTAAGCGGAGACTTCGAAAGAGATGGAAGCCGTCTCCGCAAGACCGGAGGAGAGCCCTGGCGCATGCGCAGACCCTGTTCTTTGCACCCGGCACTCTTTGCACGTGTTTGGGTTTGTACACGGCCCCTCGCCGCCATCTTAGACTTTTCTGGCCTGGATTGGTTTCAAGTTTGGCTTTTTTTTTTTTTTTTTTTTCTAATTTACTACAGGGCTTGTGCACTGGCAGGAGAAAGGGTGAGAGAGGGAAACTGAGAAAACTTTCTCCCCCCCCAGGGAAAATGACCACACTTCAATCTCTTCTCCATCTCCTCAAGATTTGGGGCCGGCATGCACACGTGCCTGGCGTGTTTTTCAAGCTGCCGGTTTCGACTCTCCCCAGCAGTGGGCCATATGGGAGCCAGAGGCACCCCTGAGCCACCTGACAGGCCCAAGTTTGTGCTTTTGAAGTATGGTCGCTTTCAGTCCTGTTTGCCTTCACAGCTGCAAAGGTAGGCTAGTTTCTGTGTCACTGGGGAGTTTTTCGAATGAGATTTTCTGATTTTCATGGTGACAATTTTACTTCGTTTTATTTGGCTTTAGGTATATGAGGTTATATAACTTTGTCTTAGTTTTGTGTTCTTTCTGCAATCCTAATATCATTGTTTTATAAAAGTCATCAGGAGCAGTGGCATTCTCCCTTTTTTGGGGGGTGGGTGGGTGGAGTTTCAAATACCATTAAATGAATATTACATCTAAAATAGGTGAAGGTTTGGCCAGAACTGCCAACATTACTTAGCCTCCCTGCATTTCTTCCTGAGAAATAAACCCCAATTATCGCTTATTGCTCTTCTCCTTTCTTTCTCTTTTTCTTTTTTTTTTTCTTTTTCTTTTTTCTGCAAGAGAACATGTGTGTTTGCCAGAGAGACAGTGAGGCAGAGGAGAAAGCACTCCATAGGGTATGGTCAGGCCCACAATCCTTTCTCCTCCATTTCTTCTTTCAGGATTTTGGGCTTGGAGGCACATATGCTGGGGTGTTTCTGAAGCACCTGAGCTGAGGACTCCTACCACATGGTTGTCTTTGTGGGATCCAGCTGCCTTAACCACCAGGCCACAGGGCTGGCCCTCTTATTTCTTCCAAAGAAGCACCAGGAGTTAAGCCAAGAATCCTTCAATACTTTTGCAACTGGAAACTTGTACACCTTAAAGATTTAGAGTTATCAATGGTGTGACCTTCGGGTTAAATTTGCTGCCATCTACTTGTAGCTCAATTCTTTCATTTTTAGGTTTGTTATTTTTCAACAGTCCAAGAGAAGGAAACTCTTGGCAAACACTTTGTTCAGTTTATCATTTCCCAAAATAAATAACTGCAAATGCTGCAAACCTCTAAATGAATGATAGCTAAATATTTGCCACTTTAATCAAAATACTATCAGAAAACGTTTAAGTTTGCAGTCGGTCTGTTTTTCACTGCTAGGCAACTTGGCTATTACAGATCTTTGTAATCTGCCAACAGCCCATTGCTAAAACTGCGAAAATGAAGTTCCTAATGCTGCAGCATGAAGTCTGAGATAGTCTGATATGTTTCAGCTTCTACCGAGAGAGCTGTTAAATCTAAATCCTATCTAAACTACACCTTTTTAATTCACTCACCTAAATGTGAAACTCTTTAGATATTGCCTTTCTCAGATCCCACTGTGCACAAGCAGAGTTGAAAGGTGTTAACAATTGGCTTGGTTCTGAATTTATTGTGATTTGTGGAGCATAGAAAAGAAAACGCTGACTAAAACTTAACTGGATGCCAGTTGCCCAGTAGATGCTTTAACTTTTTAATAACCTACAAAGATGTACACTCAGGCTGAATGAGATCCTATAAACACCATTTCTATAAAAACATATCCATTTTCTGTATTTCTGAGTAAAGTTTCCACAGTGATCCTGCTTAAAGATTTAGCCTTTTAGGGAACATAAGAAAATGTTTTACCTTCAAAATAAGGTGGCTTGTTTTTTTGTTTGTTTATCCTGTGGGAGCTGAACAGATTTCTGAAGGAATTATCTACAAGCCACTTGTGAAATGAGATTTGCAAATTTCAACTTAAAGTCTTAGATAATATAAATTGTGCCCATTGCTTTGCATTATTTTGGTGGGTTTTTTTCCCCCAAGAGGAACATTATCATTCAATGCATTCCATTTTCCTATTTATGATACTCTGTAATACTTTGAGAGAAGATGTAAATTGAGCATAAAAAAGAACTGCAGCTTTATTTTCTTTCAATGGGAACACCCAAGGTTCTTTTTACAAAACCTTATTATGCTGTACAATTAGCAGTAGTATGAATTGTTACAGTGTTTCATTCAGGAGTAATATGGTGCTGGAAAGCTAGTGCTCAGTATTTCCTGAGTTATTAAAGAAATGTTTCTAATTTGGTCAAAGCCAAATGAGTCAGCTTTATTTAATGTTTGCTTCTATTCCACTGATGTGAAAGCTTTGGTGTGTTTACTTTTTCCAATTTATGAAAGTGAAACTTGAGATGATTTATTTTTGTGCTTTGTGTGGTATGAACAAAGATTATGAACAATTCATAATCAGTGATAAATCTATAAATAGATCATTGTAATCATTTGTATTTGTGAAAAGCAGTGACTATAGAGTCTAAGGATTCTGATAGTCTTTTATTATTGCAGAGAAAACTTGTTTGTAGGTATAATCACCTCTTTAATAAAAGTAATTTGTAGGGACCAGCAGATGGTGTAGTGCTTATGTCACTGGACTACCACATGGCCAGCCACAGTTCAAGTCCTAGACTTGGTGACTTGAAAATTACAGTAGGTGCATGTGTGTAGCCCAAAGAATGGTGAAGAAATTATGGTGTGACCATTCCCCTGGGGGTTGATTTGTCACTTTTCCTCTCACTGTCTGTCTGTTTCTCTGGTGACTATGCACGCCCTTTGGCAAAATCTTTTTAAAAAAAATTGAAGATTTGTAAGTAGTTTTATATGGAGTTCAGTACTCCCCTTGGGAAGAGTGGTGCTAATTAAGTACTCTAATCAGTATCAAATAGATCACATTTTCTAATCAAGTCTCACTTTCCTTTATATATAAATCTGAATCAAGATACTTCTGTACAACTTAAATTTTCAAAGGAGAAATGTATAGAAAAAGAGAAAAACTCTTACTGTGATGGCAGCGTATACTTCTGTGGAATTAATTTCTTCCTTGATCACAATGATACGTTTTTATTGTTGTTGTTGTTGTAGTTTTTGCTGTTGTACACATGCAGTCACCAAAGAGAGACAGAAAGAGAGAGAGTGAGCAGTCACCATGCAAGGGGAATGGCCCTTTCATTCCAGTCTCTTCTCAGGATGTTGGGCACACACACACATTTGCCCAGCGTGATTTTCAAGCTGCTGGATCCAGGACTTGAACCGTACAGTCAACCATGTATGATTCAGTGCCTTAACCTCTGTGCTACCTGCTGGCCCCATGTGCCACCTGCTGGCCCCATACAATGCTAAGTTTTTATGTGATGACATAAGTAATGTCCCATGAGTTAAAATTCCAGAGGTTCTGATCTTGCATGGTCACTATGACCATTTTTTTTTTTTTAGTTGTCATAGAACTATATAAATAATTTATGCTCTAAGGGGTATATTTGGAGTAGGTACCATACTCATCTCTTGTTCACTGTAAACAGCCTTCTTGACCCAGCCATTGTGGCTTGCTATGCAGGCTGGGATGAATAATGGGAGGCCCAGGTTTCATTCTCAGTCTAACCTAAAGACTGGTCAGGGTAGCAGATACCTATAGACCATGCTGGGAGGCTGAGGCAGGAGGATCTCTACAGTGGGACTGAGTCAGTAAGCAAAACCAGCCTACTCAACTCAATGCCACGCTCTATATTACTAACAGAAAAGAAGGCTGATAGAGTTCTTTTTTAAGGAATATTGATAAATAAACTGAAAGATACTGCAGGTGTAAGTGGGTAATTTTCAAATATATTTGAATAACATATGGGAACTCTAGAGACTACAGAGACTACAGGAATTTAGAAAAAGTTCATGGAAAATGAATATTATAAATAAATTATACATGAATTTCTGAATTGTTCTCCACCAAACTGAATCAAAATTAAATTTTAATTTAATTATTTAATTTTCCATAAACTTTTTGAAGTACTAATTTTTTTTTTTTTGGAGAGGTTTTTGCTATAGGGCGCGTGTGCTCGCCAGACAGAGAGAGACAGAGAGACAGAAAGCAAGAAATCACCCCCTAGGGGGGATGGCCACGCCGCAGTTCCTTCTCCTTCGTTTTCCTCTCGGGATCTTAGGCACACACGCACACGAGCCCAGCGTGAGTTTTAAGCCATCGGTTCCGGGACGTGAACCATGGTCGACTACATGGGTGTCCAGCGACATAGCCATTACGCTAACTGCTGGTCCTGAAATACTAAATTAATAAAATAAATACCTCTCTTTTCAACTTTCAGGCTTAAGAATTAGAAACGAGGACTAGCTCTGTGACCTGGTGGTTAAGGCAGCCAGACTGCATGATTTGCATCCTCACCCTCGTGGCTTGAAAAACATCCCAGAGATGAGTGCATGTGTGCCAAAATTCTGACAGCATAGAGAAATGGAGGAGAAAGAATTGTGGCATGACCATACACCCTTGGCAAGGAGGGTGTGCTCTTTCTTTTTATCTCTGTCTCTCTCTCTCTCTTGAGCACATGTGCCCTCAGACAAATTTAAAAAAAGAACTAGAAACTAAATTATAGTTTAAATACTACTACTGTAGTTTATTATAGTATAAGTTTTTTCATGCTTCAGATTATTCTATGACTTCCCTTCTATTTCCTGGCAACAGTTTTTTAACCCTCATTTTAAATTAATATAACCAAGTATAAAAATTACTTAGATCCTTAAGAGGGCAGATAGAGAATGACTTAAAATGACTTAAAAATGACTAACTAAACCATGAAGAGAATTCTCAATCTCTTGCATTGTGCAACAGCCCTTTGATTGTAGTCTGTAGTGTCATCTTTGGTTTAATTATATCCTAATATTCCCATGTTTCTGACTC